ATATTTATGCTCACTAGTTTTATGATCTCTGACACAGAATGCATATTTTGAGTCTCTAAAACAAGAGATTGCAAAGTATTCATATCTTTGACAGTTTAAACACTGTATTTGAGCTTTCAGATTCATTCTTGAGTCTTTGTATTCATGAACTCTCATTTTCAAATCTGCTACTTCTACTTCAGAGGTCTTTGACTGTTCAAGTGTCTTTATATATACTAGAATAGAGACATTTCTTCTGTTTTATCTGAACTCAATTAAATTTAGTTATACAGACTCTTTTCTCAGTTGAATAGAGTTGTATTCTTCTAATTCATTTTTGAGAAGTAGCATTTCTTCTTCACAGTCAAAAATTTCAACTAAAATATTATACAGAATGAATGTGTCTCACTTTTTATCTCTTTCAGATAAAATTATTATGTTTAACAAAGATTCTACTGCTGATTTTCAGAGATTCTTATTCTGAATAAGGAATTTCACACTGAATTCAGGCATTGTAGTCAGAATAATAAAGTGTTTAAAGAAGAATGACTCAATTGAAGCTATAACTGATTTTTGAACTGTAATATCAGTTATTAACTGAGAAAAGAACTGCTGATTAATTTCATTTCTGATTCTGAAAATGAGATTTAAGTTTAGCTTATTTCTTTGTAAGATATTCTGATTTGAGACTTTGAGAATAAGTCTTCTATTTCTGAAGATTTAAAAGTTTTTTCTTTTTATATTTTTTTCTTCACTTTTCTATAAATAGAAGTATGAGCAGCATTCTTCTCAGTTTTCTCAGAATGTTGAGCAGATTTTGAGATAGCAGATTTAGAGACAGCAGATTCAGCTGCTTGAGCATATGTTTTCTTCTGATTTAAAGAAGAAGAAGAAGTAGAAAAAGAAGAAGAGTAAAATAAAGAGTGAGTAATTGTACTAGAAATTTTTAATGTTTTTTGAACTGTGTTTGAAATTCTAAGTTTGAACTTGATCATCTTCTGTAGTTGGCTAGTCTGAGTATGAAGAATTAACAGAACTTCTTCATTCATCTCACTCAGACACTGCTTTTCAAGAATCTTACTTACTTTTTCAAGTTTCTATATTTCAAGAACTTATTATTTCTCTATTTCTTCTTTCTTTCTTCTCTTCAGAATTTCAATCTCAGAAATAGTATTTGAGAAAGCATCTTTTTTCATATCAACTGAGAGTATTTTTAAACTCACTGCTCTTACTCACTGAAAAGTTGATCAGACTCTTTCAATTGAGATATTTATTAAACTCTTTTGAAAAGTTGATCAGACTGTTTCAATTAAGAGATTTTTAAGTCTGTTTTCAATTGAAAAGTTGATCAGACTGTTTCAAAAGAAGAATAAAAGACTTTTATATATAAAACATCTGTTCTTTTTCACACTAGTTCAGTAACTAGATTAGATTTTTGAAGAGAATCTAATAAACTAAAATTGATTTTTAAGATAAATCAATGAAATCTTTACAATCTCTTTCTTAAAATATAGTAAGAAAAAGTATGATATCAATTAATAATAAATCAGATAATATGACAGTTTTTGAGAGAAAAACTGATAAAAAATAAATCAATTTTTTGCAGAGAAATTGATTAAAACTATTCAATTTTATTTTAAATCATTCAATTCTTCTCACACAATAAGTGTGCAACTCAAATCAGTTAATAAAGAGTGTAAAAAAGAATTAAGTATTAATAAAAGCTCTTCAGTCACTGAAAAAGTAATTCTTATCTAAAAGAATATGAAATTATAATTGAAAATAACTCTGTTTTTAATTCATTGTAAGAATATTGTATAAAATTCAGAGAAAAATATCTTACTTTTTTAAGAGAAGTAAAAAACTATTTCTAAGATCTTTTTTTTTTTTTACATTAACTGCTGTAGAAGAATGAGATAGAAACTGCTAAGATATACACTACTGTATACTCTCTATCAAGACTTTCTCTCTTCAGAGTCTTGATATTATAGAGAATATAAGTCTGTTTCTCTATAATAATATAAATATTGTCAGTGAGATGTAGAGAAACTGGTTATTTATATCTTAAAATAGAAGACTTTGTCAATAATTATATTAATATAGAATTAATTCTTAAATTTAATAGAAATTTAGTATTACTGTTCTCAATCTCTTGCAGAATCTATTGAATATTAAGATATTAAAACTAGATTTAATATATCTCACTGCACAGAGATCAAAGACTCAGTCAGATCTTGAAATATACTGAATTTATAGTTATTAATATGCTGTTAACTTGTTCTGTTGACTCATTATTCACTGATTATATATCAAATACTATTACTGAGGTATCTTTTTGTATTATTCTACTGAGAATGAGCTAGATTAAGAGGAATAGTACAAGAGTGAGACTTGATGTTGATGTCTAGATATATCAAAGACAGACAGAGTATTCACAGAGATTATACTTCAGAAGTGTCTATTAATTATATACTTGATATTATTGCTGAGATATTTTTTTGTATTTTTCTACTGAGAATGAGCCAGATTGAGAAGGGCGGTACAAGAGTGAGACTTGGTATTAATGTTTTGAAACATCAAAGATGAACAGAGTTTTTACAGAGATCACTTCTCAGATATCTTCACAATTACAGATCAGAAATCTGTCAAAATTGAGAAGATTGATGCATATGACTAGGTCTCTTCATCTTACAATTTGTATGGCAATTTGGCCTGGGGTTGTGGTGTGGTAGGGGAGAACAGGGGATAATCCCACACAGGAGTTTTGAACAATGTCTGATTCACATTTGGCTGGATAACTCCACCACCACATGGGGTATGCAGTCGGCGATGGGGTCAAAATACTTGTATGATCGAGGGCTTTTCAATGAATCTATCGGCGGGTTCTTATTCGAAAAATCGAGCGAGTTCGTGGTGAAGCGGTTGATGTGCATATTCAGATATCTTAATGAGTAATCATTTCTAATAAGAAGATAATACATGAATAATCATTTCTAATAAGAAGACAATGAACATTTTTCAAGTGTAAGAGGCCTACACTGAATAGATCAGTATAATATATAGGTCTTATATAACAAAGTGAAAAACATTAAAGAAGGAAAGAAAAGAGAAAGTGTGAAAATCAGTAATCAGAGTGAATATTTATAGGCATGTGCAGTGATGTACACTGGTGTACATGGTAAAGCTCCAGGACAGAAGAATAGGAATTCTGTAGGTTTTCAGCCGAGAATCGGCGACCGAGAATCGAAGCAGTAGAAATCTGTGAAGTGTGTAATAAAATAGTCTATATAATTAATCAGGCGCAGTCCGTCACACAGAAATCTTTTATAAATTATAGTATTTTTAACATTTTTTAATACTTTTGAAATCATTTAAAAAATAATATAATAAAAGAAAAGAAATAAAGGTTTAAAAATAAATATAGTAAATAAGTAAAAAAAGAAGAAAAGAAAAGAAAATGTAAAAAAAGATAATAATAAAATAAATATATTTAAAAATAATATATAATTATTTCAATAGATTGTATCTAATTAATTTGTATCTTTTCATATTTATAGTTTTGAATTTAATCATTTTCTTATAACTGTTTAAATTTTTAATAGAAAATTTATTAAGTATTTAATTTCTATCTCAATTGAAAATAAGAATTTTATATTTAATTGATTTAAATCATATTTCTCTTTTAATCTGACTATGAAATTATTGTATAATACACGGTATATTACAATATACTCAGAATTTTCATTTGAATTACAGATTAAGTATTTTTTTAAGTTAAATTTATTATCAAATCTTAATATATAAGATTTAAAATAATTATATTCTAGTTTCAGCTGAATTATAGATAAGAATATTTTCTTTTTCTATTTTTTTAAACAAGATTTTCACTGAAGTTTTGTTTCAAATCTTGAATAAAGTATACTTTTATTTTGATTTTATCAGTTTTTATTTCATTTATTTAAATAAGATTCTTTTATCTTTCTCTTTATAAAATGACTAGATATAACATGACGGAACCGAAGCAATGACTAGTCAGCAGCATCACATAGAAGTAGTTGTTTGAAAAGCTGTATGAGTGAGCTTGACTATCTTGCTTGAATAGTGAGCTTGTAGACTACAGAGTTATTGTGAGAATATTACAGATATAATACTTAGTATACTAAGAAGATTGTATAAGACATGCAGTAACTCTCATATATATTTCAGTAGAAGAAAAATGAATCACTGACTTCTTTAATAAGAAGCCAGTATCTAGCTATTCTATATAGACAATGAGTGAATACTCTTCTCTTATTTCACAAGTGAGAATAGCCAGAGTGATACCTCAGTAGCATCTCATTATTTAAGAAAGAGTAATCTGCTGATCTTATATAGAAGTGAGATTCTTATATTTATTAATTAAATCTTTCTATAATATATCTGAATAATGTCATAGAGTGATTGAAAACTGATTTAAACAGTCTGTAGAATGAATGAACTCATTCACATAAAAGTAATGAGCTGTATGAAATCACAACAGAGTCTTAGCATAACTAGAGACATGATAATACTCTTCTCTTTAAGAGTATAGTTCTGATGCTCTTAAGATTATCAGATTAGAAATTATCTTTGTTATATAGCAACAGTTATCAACTGATTAACAGTGCATATGCTGTACATAATATAAAGAAATAGATGAGTTTTTCTGCTAACTGCATAGATCTTTCTTTTTTTATCTTCATTTAAATTAAACATGTGATAAGTGAGTTTCTTATATATTGATTTAAAATGTGAAAAACATAGTTAATAAGTGACTTATAGATCTCTTAATATATTTCATTCTATATATGAAATTTTCTGCAAAAGTAATGTGTTTTTAGAGACAAAGCTAACAGTAGTAATAGAATTTTTTAAAAAGATTCTTCTCTTCTATAAAACATTTTTCTTTCTTCTCTCTTAATTGTAACAGTGAGTGTATGAGAGTATTGTTCTTGAAGAATAATAAAGAACTTATTCTGACATTTTCTAGTGAGTAAATATCTTCATGGTGCAGCTGCAGTCTTCATGACTATTAAGAAAGCCCAGTTGAAGGCAGAGACAGCAGCATTGATGAACTGCGGGAGCATCACTCTCATTGTCATATCTTCTTCTTCTTCTCCTTCTCCTGCTTGTCTTGCGGCCGTGGTGGTAGTTGCTGTGCCTTGCAGTGAGGTGTCATTTCTTCTGCCAGTTGATTCATCTGTGTCTGATTCTTTCTCTGCCTCTCTCACTGCCATTGTGACACTGCCTCTTCTCTCAGTCAACACAGTGATGTATGACTCCATGTGATCATTTCAAGAGGAACCTGGGAAGAGCTTGATTTCAGAGACAGTGACTCTGAGAAGCTTAATCTATAGTTCCTCTCTCACAGTATATCTGAGCCCTGCTCAGAATACTGTTGAGTTGAGTCTGCAGAGTTCTGCAGTTTCTTTGTCTTCTTTCTGTGAGAAGGCTTCAGTGTGACTTCTGACTAATACTGCTACTTATCTGCACTGCATCAAGCAGCTGAAGAAGAGAAGAATCTTATATATTCACTTCTTCTCTCACTCTCATTATTTTCATTGCATCTGTAATAATAATTTCTATCTCTCTATAAGTATTATCTACTCTACAAGAAGACATCATATCAGCTCTGATAAGAAGCTCAGATACTCAAGCAGTATAGAGTGAGAATCTCAGAGCTTCAAGTATTGATAGATTCTATCAAGACTGAGAAGATCTCTCTTACTCATCTATAAAAGAAGATGAAAGTATGAATTTTCAAGATGAAAAAATATCTCAGAATGACTAATTTTAAGAAGAGATTAGCTGATATCACTGTTGAAAGTATTACAGAGATTAATCACTGATTAAAGAGAATCTCACTTTAATTAAAGTAGATAACTGAGATGCTTTATAAATTAATAAGTTAATACTTTAAGTATCTCTCATACTCTTCTACAGCATGCTTCTCTGTGATACTGCAGTACTAACTTCTTGACAGATAAAGATATCAGTGTCAGAGACTTCAATAGTGAAGAATGAGTTTAATGAGAATATACTTATTAATGAGTAGATTCTGAGATTCTCTTCTTTTTACTTTTTCAGTGAGCTGCAGCTTTATTTAGAATAGTAGCAGTCTGCAGATTGATAATATTAATTTTTATTACTTTTAAATATCTCTTTTCTTTAATCACTTCAGGAATTTTACACTTATGTAGTCTTATTAAACTTCTAAAAACTCTTTGAGAGAAAATAGAAGAAGAGTGTTACAGAGTTAATAAGATATCAGCTCATTATTACAAGATTATCTCTAAAAAATTCTTTAAGAAAAATGAGAAGTCTCAAGCAGCATTTCTTGCTCAATATCTCTAGTATATAACAGAGCAGTCTCTACTAGCTGTCTCATAGCTTACAATATCTTTCTCAGCATTTTTCAAATGCTCAAGCAGTTCTTATAAATTCTCTGATAACAAATAATCTTCTTATTTAATAAGATATTGAAGCTTACTGTAATATATTCACTTATTCAATATTTTCTTTACAAGATATTCAGTATTACTCTTAATCTTAATATTATTCAGCTGAGACAGCTTCACTCTGAGACATTACTTATAGAGCTTTAAATAGAAAATGTGAAAAATAGAATGAATTGATTTCAATTCTGTGAGTAATTTCAACTTATATATCTACTTATCTATCACTCTTATTACTGAAAAAGATTCTAGTCATCACTCACTGAGCTTCTTATACAGTCTTATTATCTTGATATTCTTTGCTAAAAGTAGCATTTAATTCTCTATCAAGAACTTCATTAAAAGATGTTTTTAATTATAGTATTTCATCTGCTACTTCTATACATAGCAGATACTTTTCATCATCTTTTTTATGAATTTTATTCAAAAGTTTCAATCTCACTTTTACTTCTGATACTGAGAGATACTCTGTTCTCTGTATCTGTTTAATATTCTAACTATCTATTCTCTTCTTTGAAATATCATTCATAATATCACTGAGTAACAAAGAATTATATTCATAATAAGTATAGAAAGAAGATATTTTTAAGATTACATTCTTTACATTGTTATATACAAATTCAGTAGTTAGAAGATATTTGAGTCAATCATTCTGATAATATAAATAGAATACTCAAAGATGCTGTTCTAGTATCTGATTCTGATGTTCAGTCTGATTATCTATCTGTGAATGAAATGCAGTACTGAGAAGATGTCTTATTATAAGATAATAGTAAAAAGCTGATTATTATTTACTGATAAAGAGGGATTCTTAATCTATTATCAATAATTTCAGAGTATCATAATTATAAATAATGATATCTAAAAACAGATCAGTCAATTCAGAGGCTTTAATCTTTTTATAAGTAGAGATATATCTGATCATCTTTATGAAGCAGTTAATAATAATCAAAATTAAATCATATTCTTTGACTCTTATTAACTTCAGCAGATTAACTATGAAATTCATTAATAGATTCTGTCATGAGTTCTTTGAAACAGGTAGTGATATTAACTCACTGTATTACTTATACTGCAGAATCTTTATCTTTTGATAGATATTATAAGTCTTAATATACTCTTTAATATCTATCTGAAGCTTGTCTTAAATATATTTATATTTTAGAAGCTTCTCAGTCTTCTCTAATCTGAAGTGCTCTATATAAGAATTATTATAATGAATTCTTAATAACTTCTGATGCACTGCTCTGCTACAAGAGACAAAGACTGAATCATTCAACAGTAGAAGTGTATATTCTTCTAGTTATCAGCAACTTGATTTCTTAGCAGTATTATCTCACTCAGAGCCTGTCTCTTTCAAGTTCAAACCAGATTCTTTCTTCTTTAACTTCTGAATTCAAGCTGCAGTAGAGACATTCTTCTTCTGTAACTTATTAATGAATTTCAAAAGTAGTCAGATTGAAAGATTGTAGATTATTTTATTCTTTATCAATTTAATAACAGTAAGATATAATACAAGAAGCTTATAATCTTCAGTGTTAGTTCTCTGTGAGAATCTGGGTTTTCTTTCAACTTCTATACTGAGTTGTGCAGCTGTCTTACTGACACTGTTTCTGAGCTTTAGAGAACTCTAATTCTCTGCAGCCAGCTTCTTCTACAGTGATAATAGAGATTCTTTTATAGAATTCTTCTTCACATTAACAATATTATAATCAGACTGTCTAGACAGTGTGTCAGCAGAGTTAAGCCAATCTGAACAGTATCAGATATAGAAATTATACTCTGAAAGCAGCTCTGTTCATCTGACTTAACATTCTGTTAAGCTCTTTGTTATCAAGAAGTAACACAGATTTATATAATCAGTGAGAACTTGCACTGAATACTTACTACTCTGAAAATAATGTCACTAGATCTTAAAGAATTCAATAATTGCTAACATCTTCTAATCATGAGTATTATATCTTCTCTGCATGAGTGATAACTTCTTGAAGAAGAAGATCACTAATCTTTATTCACAGCATCTTATAGACTCTGTGAAGAAGTCTTCTTTTACAGACAATTCATTATCTGTATTCTCAGAGATAATTATTCTCTGATTCTTTCAACATTGAAAGATCTTCAGTGTCAACTATGAAAAGATTTCACAGATCTCATTCTCAGATACATCAGTCTCACACTGACTGAGTAAGTCAGAGTTAAAGTGATTCAGTATTATAATATCTGTAAAAGCTTGTTTCAATTCTGCAAATGTCTGTACAGCATCTTAAGTGAGAATAAATAATTCTGTTTTTCTGTCTTTCACACTTTTCTTTAACAGATCTGTAAGAGAGACAGTAATCTGTGAATATGTATAGATGAATTGTCTGTAGAAATTCACAAATTCTAGAAATATCTATATCTCATGATACATCTGCAGTGCTGATCAGTTCTTAATAACAGAGACTCAGCTTCTGTTCATTGAAATGCTGTTCATCTTAATAATATAATCTAAGAAATCAATCTTCTGTATGTAGAACAAGCATTTTTCAGTGTTTATATAGAGTTAATACTGTCTCAAGTGACTCAACACTTCTCAAACATGAGTATCATATTCTTTCTCTGATTTCAAGATGATTAGAATGTTATTCAGGTATACTATATAGAAGACATTAACAAGATCTTACAGCATCTCATTTATATAGATCTGGAAGATGACTGAAGTGTTATAAAGATTAAAAGATAAAACAAGATATTCAAAATTACTGTACTTGATATAGAAAGCTGTTTTTCAAATATTGTCTTTGTTAACTCTGATTCTATGATAGATATCTTATATATCAATCTTTGAGAACATCTTTGCTTCAGATAATCAATTGATCATCTCATCAATCAATGATAATAAATAGTGATTCTTAACTGTTATCTTATTGAGGCCTCTGTAGTCTATGCATAGGCATAGTCTATCATTCTTCTTGAGTATAAAGAGTATAGACACCTCTGTCAGACTCTTTGATAAATATATTCAGTTCTTTGATTACACTTCTTCAAGATATTTGTGCAGAACATTCAATTCCTTTACAGATAAGTTGTAAAGAGACTCATACAGTATCATTACATCATCTTTAAGATAAATCTTATATCATATCTTGATATCAGAAAACTTTGCTGCTTTTCTTTCTGAAAAGACATTCTTATAATCTGTAAAGAGACATCATATACATTCATCTTCAATGATAAATACTGCTGTTAATCTTACAGTGAGAGTGATGACTTCTTCATCTATTTTCAAGTCTCAATCACCTGCTATACAGTATATTGACTCTATTCTTTTCTCAAGATTCTTCTGATGAAACTCTTCAGATTTCTCTATCACTGTCTCTTCATCAGTGAGACAGTATCATTATATCTGAGTGACTCAGTCAATGAGAGAATTGTTTTCTCTCAATTATAGAAGATCTAGAATGACATTCTCATCTATGATATTAACTGTGTGAAGAAGCAGACTGCTCTTCTTAAAGGTTTCTTCTGAGTCTGTGATTACACACTTCACTTGAATTATGTTAAAATGATGATATTTTATTTCATCAGTAAATTTCACATAATCTGACAGATCTATCTTTTTTCAATTCTTTATCAAAGAAAAGAAATAGAATATAAAGTTGATATCTATCTCAGAGTCAAGTAAATATCTCACTGATATCTTCTTATTCAGAATATACATTGTAATTATAATATAAACTTAAAGATATGAGAATTATCAATTCTTTATTTCTTTCTCTTCTTTATCTTTCACAGATACATTT